AGTCTTTGTACAAATGCCGCTTGTCTTGAGAAAAACTGTTGGACTGGAATCAACGCGGCAAACTGAATGAAACGCAGCAAGCATGAATGGAATGCAACTTAAATGCGAGTAGCATGATAGGGTCGATTTTTAACTCAACTAGTAACACAATTAGTAACTCAACTCTCCAAGTTTCTGTTCCCTTTGTGGCCAAGTATTGAACTCACAACTCTTTGGGTTAAGTCATTTTTTCGGATTACTCAACTAACGCTTTTATCTACTGGGCCATGTGTCCTTCGGGTGTTATGAGTTCAATATCTGACCACAGCAGAGGGAACAAAAACTTGCACAGTTGAGGTACTAAAGGGAATTAACGGAAACTGAGACATACAAAAAAGGCATGGCACGTGGAATTAGAACACTCTACCACCGTGGACTAAATAAAGGATTTGGTTGGAAATTTCAACGTAAATAACCTGAAGAAAGTCGGAGCGTACAACGGTCGAAACGTCGTGAATATTGCAATAAAGATGAGGACAACAGTTCAAACGATGTAAATAGTGTAAATATTATAAGTGTGTATAAACAAAATGAGATTGGTCAGCTCCGGACCAAATATGGCATTAATGTTCTATTTTTTTCAATACCCAATGAAAATCCATTTCACTACTGACGCATTTACTATATTTTGTTCATTTCAGCACTGTAGTGATAATCGAACCCGCCAACTCTTGCAATGCGTCGACAAACTTAGATTTATTTCTTATGAAGTTGACGTCCTGGGTATGACGATAAACTACATCCGCATCCTGGGTAAGACGATAAACTACGTCCAGCAGCAAGGCCTCTGGTCAAGAGGTTTTGAGGAGCGTCTCTTCTACTCCAATAGCTTCGTGTCTCGCACCTCTCGCCAGTGGAACTCCCTCCCTTCTTCCTGTTTTCCCTGATAGCTTTTAATTGCTGGTGTTTCCAGGTTCACTCTGACCCAGGGTGGTAGCACCTGTTAGGGTCCCAGCTATGGGCAAATAGTTAACCCCGAACTTGAGACAAAAATACTATGAAAGTGTAAAAATAGGTTTTAATACCCGAAATACTTTGTAAAAAATTATTACCAGCAATAAATTTTTGAAGGAAAAAAGTATTACCAACAATATGTTTTTCAAGAAAAAATATTACCAGCAATACATTTTTGAGGAAAATTACCAGCAATACATTTTTAAAGGAAAAATATTACCAGAAATGGATTTTTGACAAAGCAAAATATTACCAACAATAAAAAAAATTTCGGCATTAAATAAACTTGCATGGTCTGGTGTTCCTTATGTTTGTCTCAAGGTTTTTGATAAGATCCAGAGACGGATATGCAACATATTTGGCCCTGATCTGGCATCTCGTCTGCAGTCGCTCTTTCACAGACGTGCCGTCGCCTCCCTCTGTCTTTTTTACAAATACTTTCATGGTAATTGCTCCAAGGAGCTGCTTTCGCTGGTTCCCAGACTTCATGAATTTAGGCAGGCATCTCGCTCACACCCTTTCACTGTCGAAACTGTTAAATGGAGCCGTCTCTTCTACTCCAATAGCTTCGTGTCTCGCACCTCTCGCCAGTGGAACTCCCTCCCTTCTTCCTGTTTCCCTGATAGCTGTCATCTCCAAATATTCAAATGTAATGCCAATCGACGTCTCCAGATGCCCTGATCTATCCCCTATCCTTCCCTACATCCTTTCCTCTCT